GGGGGGAGAAGGGATTCAGTTGGGAACTATTCACCACTAAGACTCCTGTCAGCATTGACATAAATTTCCACTGGTGTTGGCATTTAGGCATTTGCCATTTCCATATGTATAGGGCTGCCTGTACTAATTATGCTAATCACCCCCTCTGTTGGCTGCTGTGAAAAATGGCCACATTAGGCACTCCACTGCTTGCTAATGTCACTTAATGTGTGGTTGAAACATACATTCATCCCCCTCTGAATGGTGAAATTTTTCCACATTGCTGGCTTCATTCAGGCAAGAAATGAATTTTTTGAACTCAGACCACTTTTCCAGGCCCGAGGGAGAGGCAGATAATAAAACCCTCTTCTCGGGCCCTGGCGCTGCCCCCTCCCAGCCGCCAAATAACATTTAAAACGCAAAAAGAGAGCCCCCTCTCTAAGTCCATGGATATGTCTAAGTTAAAAAAAAAAAAAAAACCCACAACAAAAAAACCCAACAAAACACTTTCTAGGAATTAAAGAAATATATAAGTTGAAAAGCAAAGCAAAAAGGATGGGGGCAGATAAGCCACAGCCATCTTTAAAGAGTCTCCCAGTCTTTTTGGGTTAATTAGCAAAACTTTCCAGCCCGAAGAAGCCGACCAAGCTGTCAAGGAAGGGAAAAGGAAAAGCAAGAGGTTTCACGCTCGCCTCCCGAAGATAAATAAATAAAGGCGAACTGCCTGCACCCCATCTTCTGGCAAGCGGGGGGCTTGTGGGGAGCTTCCCCCTCCCCACAAAGAAAGGTCCTCTCAGAGCCAGACGGGGCTGCAGGGGAAAAGGTGCTTTGGAGCAAAGGGCAGAGCCAGCCAGGATTTTAGGATAACGAGGACCTCGGCACCCTGCGGCAGCAATGCCCTGCGCTCCTCTGAGCCCCCAGGAAGGGGGGCATGGGGGTCCCAGGGGTGCCCAAAACCTACAGACAGAGAGAGAACTGCAGGGTCCCAAAGGGAAAATCCCACCGGGCCAGGCAAGGGGGTCCCCAGGGCAGCATTGGGGACCATGGGCTGCCCCTTCCCTACCTGTGTCACTGCACCCCAAGAGGAGCAGGGACCCTGTCCCCGCAGGACGCCTGTCTGGGGACAGAGTGGGGACGTGGC